GTCTATATAGTTTTTAGGTTTAATTTTTCATTTTATTTTATTTAGTGTCAGTTACTTTAGTACTTAAACTAAACAGAAATGAGAAATGCTGCCTTGCTTTTTTTATTAGTTTAATGTTTTAGTTTTTTTAATATTTTATTTTCACTTAACTTTTTTTTATTTCAAGCACTGAAAATGTTTTAATAGATTTTAGATAATCATAACAACCCTGATTCAGACCCTTTTTTATGTGTGAGATAACAAATGCAAACAATTCAACTTGGTTTACGTTTGTTCATTAATCGTCGTACTTGTTTAATAATCATCATTAAAAGTATCACTGCTTTTGTCCCCTATGTAGTGTTTTCGTGCAAACTCCACTCATAATTTCATCAGAAGTGGGACAAATGCTGTGTTTTCTCCAGTTAAGCAGATCTGCGTGTGTAGGAGGCTGGCTTCACGTCTGAATGATCAGGAACACAAACGCTAAAGCCGTGAGCTGAGGTTACGCCGAGGAAACCGGATTAAACGCCCCTGCGGTCTCAGAGAAAGCCAGATCCATTGGGTTTCCTCCACATCTACTCAAAATAACTGCCTTTCTTTCCCAGCATGCTTTCAGAGACAAAAGCCACTCCAGCTCTTCAGTGAGACACATGGCAGACGTGGATTATTTGATTAGATGTGATATTACAGCCTGGACAAATCACATTCATTAGTGGTGAGCCGGGTCGTGTCAGACGTCACATGATCCGCCTAATCCAATAGCAATGGCCACACAGATGATGATGTAGATTATAACGAGGTTTATCGACTTTTATAAATGGGCAGAGCAGGGTAAGATGTGTCACACCTATAATCAATCAAACCCAGTGTAATTTTGTCTTGTTGCTAAGACCCACCAAAGATCTTCCTCTTATAACATCTTCTTCAAAAAGTACTTGTAAAATATTAAAAAAACAAAAGGTTTTCCTACATTCATTTTAATGTAAATGAATACTCTGCAACAAAATACGTGCTTTATTCAGTTATATATTTCTATAAAGAATTTCATTTATGTTCAGAACTTTATTTTAAAATTTAAATTAAATATGTTGAACCATAGCAGCTCAATAGAATATATCTATAAAAATACAATATAATATAATTTATACTTTGTGCAATTATATACAGGTGCATCTCAATAAATTAGAATGTCGTGGAAAAGTTCATTTATTTCAGTAATTCAACTCAAATTGTGAAACTCGTGTATTAAATAAATTCAATGCACATAGACTGAAGTAGTTTAAGTCTTTGGTTCTTTTAATTGTGATGATTTTGGCTCACATTTAACAAAAACCCACCGATTCACTATCTCAACCAATTAGAATATGGTGACATGCCAATCAGCTAATCAACTCAAAACACCTGCAAAGGTTTCCTGAGCCTTCAAAATGGTCTCTCAGTTTGGTTCACTAGGCTACACAATCATGGGGAAGACAGCTGATCTGACAGTTGTCCAGAAGACAATCATTGACACCCTTCACAAGGAGGGTAACCCACAAACATTCATTGCCAAAGAAGCGGGCTGTTCACAGAGTGCTGTATCCAAGCATGTTAACAAA